TTACAGAGCCTTCACTCTCTGCTAAACAACAGTACGCAGTTCAAACAACCAAAGAGCTAATAGAACAATGGGAACAGGAAATAATCTGCTCGGGATTCCTTCAAATCACTAATTATACACAAAGGTCCTGCAGTTATTGCATTCACTCTTTGGATTAATTGTACAGTTGATTGGTTCTGTACTACTACTGTCACCTAGTCAGGGGTCATCAGTTCACTCAATGATAGAAAACAGGTCTCCTAAGGAACCAGGTTGGAAAACAATTGTTTATTTGTTCTCTGTGTGTATTTGTTTCTCTTTCTTTCCTCCCTTCCTTCTTTTTTCCGACCTTCCTGTATTCCCTTCTACGTAGTACTGCCTTACATAAACAAACATTACCAAGTAAATGTAAATTAGGGCAAATCATCCTGATGATAGTCATTGTAGCAATCATCCAAAGTTTACAACTTCAAACATCTAGTATAATATTATATAATATATAATATTGGCCTTACAGTATGCAAAGTAGGTGTGTAGTATTATCATTTTATAGATCCAACAAGAAGTCCTGTCAATACTCTGTACAAGTTAGTCAACGCTTACCTACAGCGAGGCAATGAAGATTATACGAATTTCTGGGCCAAACTACTTCTTATGCAAGGACAGGAAAGAAAAGCAGATGGTGGAAACAGGTAACAATGATGTTTGAGGATATACATTCAATACAGGCCTACTAAATACTGCCATCCTTTAAATAATAAACCTTTAAAGGCACAAACACTTTTCAAACACTCAGAAGTTCCCCTGCAGTTTGAGTACCTTGGTGTGTGTTGTGCGTGTAGCTGTACAGTTCATTTACTGTCCACTGTCATGGTGAAACAGCAGCAGGCTGATATGTGCCTCATGGAGCTATTGCAGCCCTGTTTTGCCAGACTACTTCCTGATTCAACAGAGCCAAACCAATGAGATCACAGCACTCACCCCAGCGTCCCGCCCTCACCTTTCCAAACTAGCCAATAGACGACGCCTCTGGGACTGTCCTCGCGCAGAGGCCGAGCCACACAGGTAACTCAGAAAAAAAGAGAAAGGAGAGGGAGAAAAAAAAAAACAGGGCTTGTTATGGAGTTCGTGTGAACGAGACACGGATTTCCACCCTTCTCTACCAGTTAAACCAGTATCTCTGGATAGAGCACACTCAAGTACTTCAACAGGTAGAGTCTCTGACCGCAAACTCTTCCGTGGCTCCTCTGAAAATAATCTCCCCCTTTTTTTTTCTCTCTCTCTCCGTTTACCTCAATTGAGTTTCCAGCCCTTTTGTTCGCTCTTCTTATCACTTGGAAAAAGGTGAACCCTCGTGTTATTTTTTTATTTTAATCTTTGCTTTAATTGTAGTTTTTACCCTTGTGGTCCCTGATGGCTTCGCACAGTGATACTCTGGTGGTGTTCTTTGGGGCAACAGCTGGTGCAAATGGGGGTAAACTGGGTTCGGATGAGAGGGAAATAATTCTCTTGGTGTGGCAAATTGTGGATCTACATGAGAAAAAGGTACGGACCTTTGTGACCCGTTCGTTCGTTGTACGGTTTCTTATGTACCCAGAGTGTTTGTGGCATAGTGTCTACCTGTAGTGGAAAAGTATGTTTGACATTTCAAATCAACACGGTGTGCTCTCTGAACCCGTCTATAACCTGCTAGCTACATCAACTCGCTGTCCAGCCCGGCTCGTTAGCTCACCTTTCTCACACCTGTGTGCGACTAACATTTAACAAGCAGGTGAGAGAGTGTAGCTTCACCTAATGGAGATATACAAGCACCGTATTGGTTTGGCATGTCAGCATCTACAATATAAACAACGCTTTATTGACAATTAAGTGCCAACTACATTGTCAATTTGTTTGTTTGACTTTTTTGTTGTTGTAAGAGTTCATTTCCTGATTGTGGGGGCTAAAGCCTGTAATTTGCCATCAATTAGCATGTTTGTTTGTTTTTTTTGTGGTTGTGTTTTTTTTTTTCACGCTGTACTCTGCGCCATGAAACCCCTAAATCCCTCCACAGGTTGGGAAGCTTCAGAGATGTCTTGTCAAGCCAGACACTTTGGAGCTGACAGACCAGTGTAAAGAGGAGACAGGACTGACTCTGGACGACGTGGTCAAAGCTGAGCCCCTGGATAAAGTTCTGCAGCAGGTGAGTCTTAAATGTGAGGGACATTCCAGTCTCCCATGAGGAACGTTTAAATCCTTTTCTGTCTAATATAGGGCCTTAAAAGTATCTCACCGGTGTGAAAACCACAGCAACAGCTCGTAAGGTCTCTTTGAGAATTGGTTTGCGAGAAGTCATTTAAACCAACTGACAGTTTTTGCCCGCAGCGAGATGAGACGTGACAAGCCTGACTCGGTGTTAAGAGCTCTGTAAGTTAATGTGAGGAGTTTTAAATTTCTCTGATGACCTTTTTAGAAAAATGGTCTTCCACCTGGTTGAGATATGCCATTGGTTTGGCCCTGACAGTTAAACTCTGCTGACAGTGTGTAGAAGCTTAGGGGCTAGGCAGAGCCCGCGGCATCTGGAGATAAGGACGAGTCGCAGGTCTGGTCTTGTCTCGGCCTGATGCGTGCTGCAGACATCTGGAAGGCGGAATGTTTACCTGGGACCGCACCTCTGTTTTTAGGCTGCAGGACAGACAGGAGGGGAGGCTTTCAGATCTTGGGCTTCATCCTCAGCGGTCGGTTACGGTTGCTTTCTGGTTCCTCCCTGTAAGGAGGTGTGCTCATGTTGCCAAACAGCACAACCACCACTCACTAGAAATGTTTGTTTGCACCTTTCCCACACCTCCAGTATTTGGTAGTTTGTTCTCCATTATCATGCTGGAACATTGTGTTTGGATTGATATTAGTGCTGCAGTGGCCTGAATGCTGTGCATGATCAAGCAGTTTGGTTTGGGTACTAATCAACTAAAACTGGGTTGTTGTTTTTTTGCTTAAAATTCTCTCTTTGGCTTTATAGCAACGATGCTGCTGGCACTCAAAGCATAGCCTGAGCCGGGCAAAACTTCATGGGAGTTTGGTCTGAATGTTGAGGCCATTTGTGCCTCGTACAGAGCTGGTAAGACTTCAGCTCCACCGTAGGTTAGTTTGTGTGCTGAACCTTCAAACATTAACCCAAGCAATCAGTTGGTTCTTTTCATAGCTTCGTCTCACTGGTTACTTTCTCTCGGTGTTGGTCATTCTAAGATTAGTTTTATCCTTGTTGACAGAGGAATGAAAGGGGGAGACATTTTTCCACTTAGTGCTGTATAGAACTGCAGTTTAGAAGCATGTAGTTCACAGTTGTTCAGACGGAGTAGCCTATTCCAACTCATTCAACGATAGAGGGAGACTCTTCTTGGTGGGCTTGTCACATTGACCTGTGTGGGTTAGAGCCCCCAAGGACATCTGTTGGTTTTCTTTGGTGAAAGATTTATTAAGCTAGAGAAGGCTGGAAAGGTTAGCAGTCCACTTTATAACATTGTGAGTGCCTAATATTTCATTTTATGAGTGACACATTCACTTGAGTCTGCAAATGCATTTGTGATTTTACGTGTCGGTGCAGTCAACAAGTCCCCCCAGTCAGTCGTCCTACTGTTTTGCATAATGCTTTTCCTTACTCACAAACTGATACCCAGTCAAATTTGATAAGTGTACACACTGCATATTTATGAAATGCTCTACATTTCAAGTTGGAGAATAGACATGAGCATATGTTCATCGTCATCCCCTTTTTTTGCCTTGTCCTTATAAGTTATAAAGATCACACATTATATACTCTGCAGGGATATTTATCCGAAGCTCTAAAACTTTGAATGTAATCATTAAAGAAATCTTGAAGAATAAATGAAACTGTGAATGCTAAATAACGTGTGAGGGCTGAGTAGATTTATGTGTAAAATGATGACTAAAGGACATGCTAGTACTCAGGCATGGGTGACTGTAGCTGTGAGCCTTATCTCACATTATTGTGCGTGTGTGTCACAGCTGCAGTTCGGTGTGGCTCCTGGGAGCGGGCTGACAAATGGTTCAGCTGTAGTTGGGCTGTTGCTGACTGTACAGGTTTAGCTTTAGTCTGGGACATTGACAGCATGTCACAGCCTGTGTGTTGTGATGTGTAACCTCACACACTTTGTTGTTGTTGTTGTGAAATAATGAAACTTTGCATCTTCTTTCTCACTATGTAATTGTTTTTTAACAGTTTTAGACCGCAGCTAGAAATGCTGATTAGTGGCTTAGTTACTGATATTTAGTATTTGCTTATAAAGGCAGCCGTATTGTGACATGGTCAACATGATTAATCATAAAGAGTGATTCTGACAAACAGGATTTTAACACTTAAAAATCTGATTTGTATGAATGGAAAAGGAAACTTTTTTTGATGTTTACTTTTGTGCCTGCTGTTTCAATGACTACTTTTATGTCCACACAAGAGTTGTGAAAGAAGGCAAATTAGTGGGAGATAATAGACTATGACAGGAAATTGGAAAATATACTGCACTGACTGCAATAAATTGATTGTTTGCTCTAATGTCTAACTTAACTTTGCAAGTGTATTAAAGATGAATGTTATGTTAGCAAACATTGTAGTATATAGTATGTGACAGTGAGGCTTAAAGAGACTGATGGTTCTCATTTACACAGTGATTATGAAATTGCGTTGTTAGAGGACAACAGCAATAGTTACTTATGATAAAGTTCAGCTCTCTGAAATATCTGTTAGCATCACATGCTATTTTTAGCTATATTGATTCTAGCTCAGTCAGAAGTGATCATTCTGGCTGTAAGCAGTGTAGAACTCCTGTGTCAGGAGCCGTGATGTCGCCTGTGTTTTAGCTTTAGGTGCCTCAAACTGTTACCTCAGGGACTGCCCTGACACTCCCTGCTGCTCTTATCGGAGTTTGTTTCAGCCACCACCACCCTACCTCACCTCTGCATACAAACGGCCTGGCTACACGGGAGAGTAAACGCTGATAGGACCATGTTCAAAGGCCACTTCCTCCCCCTCATCGGTCAAAGCGCCTTTCACAGGGTAGAGTGAAGCGGAAAGTCGGTTTAAAGTCTCCCTCCACTCAAAAATGTGTTTTCTTCTTGTTCCTATAGTTGGATGTTTGAGCTTCACTGCGCAGAATGATGTATGAGTAGGGTTTGACAGTAGAAATATGTTTTGACATTCATTGGCTGAAAGTGGAAAGGTTCTTTGTGCTCATTGAACATCTGATTTTGAGGGGAGGAGCCTACCAGCATTATTGTGACATCCCAAATAGTTTGGAAGTCAGTCCTGGTCCAGTATGCAGTTTATAAAAATGTGATGTAGAAACTGGAAGCCTCCAGTGCACATACACAGTGAAGTTGTAGAGATCCAGGCAGGAAAATCTTACAAATTTAAAAAAAAAAAAAAAATTAGCCCAAACACAGATCCTGGAATTTTAAAATATTTTTTAGTAGATGCCTTTTTAAGGATTTTAATGTGGTTATACTTATTTTATATGTGGAAAACATATCAGACAGACATTATGCAGCAGAACTGGAGGGGGTCTTTGTGTCCATAGCATTTGTGAGTCATTAAATAAAATAAAAAGTTAACGATAGTTACAAATAGTAAGATGACATTATCATACAGAAAGTGGAACATGGGTTATCACATCATCACTGGTAATAAGCAGCTAATTTTTGACAGCAGAGCCAAGTGTCCCAGTATGTTATTGGTTCATATGGGCCTATCACAGATATTGGTATCGGTGTAAATGTTTTCTGATATGCCAATTATATGAACATTTTATACAGCATATAATGCTGTACATAATACTAAATAATACTTAACATATATTACCTATGTTTATTTAGCTAATTATTTTATTTGTATTTTTTATTTATTCATTTGTGTTCATTTCAAGAATGGATTGACAATGTTAAATTATTAACATGTTGAAGAATGTTTAACTTAAATATTATTTAATAACATTATTGTTTAATAGTCATATAGGCGCAAAATTGCTGATCAGGTCACATTGGACAGCTCAAAAGTTATTGGCCGCCATGTTGGTAATTGGTGAATTTCCCCCCCTAAAATCAGTATTGGTCTCAAAAATTCCATGTTAGTTGGGCTCTATTTAAGTAGTGTTTTAAGAGTTCTTTCATGTAAATGGCTATTTACTATTATACATAGATCATGCTCATTGAAAGTAAAATGTAGTTAATTTAAGGTGGAAGCACTCTGTTCTGTTTTTGAGTTTAGCTCAGTAGTCCGTATGTCTTTGCCTGTCTGTTGTCAGTGTGAGATTTGTCTTCTGTTCAGCTTGTTTGTTTAATTTAAACTGTGGTTTTTGACACAGAGGAGAAAGGGAGAGGGTGTGCCTCCACGTCTTCTAAAACATTTGCTTTTCTCTCAGTAATCCGGTTTGAGTAATTGGCCAAGGTGGAGCTGCATGCACAGCTATGAGCAAACATTAGTCCTGTTGTCACTGTAAACATGAATAGTTCTTTAAATTGTGCCACCAAATCATTCTGCAGAATTTTTGATAGTATCATAGTTTTTGGATTGTGTGTTTACTGTTAGAATAATGAATGTGTCAAGTGTTGAGCTGGATCTTTTTTTTTTTTTTTATTGGTATTGTGAGCTTTCTGCACATGGGACTGAGAAATTTTTTTTGGCAATTACAACTCCACCAGTGGCTGTTGTTTTAAAGGCTTTAATACAATGTGTGCTGTTGAGGTGGTACCAGTGTGATATCTAAATTGACCTTAACTTAGATCAAACAATGAAGGGGCCGATAGATGGAATGTTGCCAAGATGTCCCAAGAGTTAATTCTGTTATTTTATACCGTGAGTATAATGATAAACATTTTGACTAAAGATGGTTTTCATATTTGTTATTCATCACTGGCAAAGTGCCCTTAAATAGATCTGTCCTCGGTGTACATATTTTTCTATACTCCACATTTAGTTTAGAATAATGTTGTCATTACACATTGAGCACATGGTACATCCATTTATCAGAATGTACCTGTTGACCTGCTGTTTTCACATAACCCCTATATCTGGATCCAGGTCACCAACATCACCAACATTGCTATTTACTTATTAAATAGCTCTTCGATTGTGTGTGTGTATTTGTTTCCCCTAGTCTTGAACGTGTGTTGTTGTAGGGGTAATTCTTGCTGTATTTGTGCTTAATTTTCTGACAGCATAGTATATCCAACCAATGCTGCTGTCTGGCATCTAACTGCCACATGTTAGATCTTCCTACCTCTTAACACATTAACCTTCTCCATCTCATGTAATACACTCCAGTGTAAAACCATTATACAGAATAACTTTGTGGAGCTTTATCTGGATCTGTTGCAGCTTTTCTTTTCACCAGAGCCATAGCAACATTTGTTTGCCCTTGTACAAAGTCTTGAGCTTTAAAATGGTTTGATTATTTATGTTGAATTTGAAGTGTAGCTCCTGTTTTCACATGACATGAGAAGCATTTACAGGGCAATGACTGTCCATCTCGCTATTACACAACAAAAAAAGAGAAGCTTCACACAGTTAAGATTTTACAAAATGTATGGTTTTGAAGTATATTTTATGTATGTTCAGTGACCACCAGTGATCTTGAATATGTCTGCTGGTGTTCATGGGCCCACTGAAAATACCCAAGCTTTTTTCAGATCTATGATTCTTTCAGGTTTCACCCATTTGTTCCCTTGTCAGCAGCTGCCAAATAGCCCTGCATTTCTCTCTAACTGTTAAGGAGCAAGCCCTAACACGCACCTCTCATACTCTCTCACTGTCTCAAGATCTGTCATATATAGCCAGTGGCCATGTGAAACTAGTCAGCACTGGATTTTATGTGGTCTCACACACAACTGTCTAATTTTGCACTTAGAGAGGTGACTTTGAGGGTTCAGGGAAGAGGAAGGGAATAAACTTAATCTCTGAATGGGCCAATGACACAAGTAAAAGTTCGCCTCTGTCTGTCATGGGAAAATTGAGCAGCAAGTAAATACAAGCAGCATTCAAGTCAATATAACTTCAGAAAGGTTTCAATATGTCAGTATTATGCAAAGTAATCTGCGTATGAGATACTACAATAGCCTCGTTTATGGTCCCCACACCTTCTCCAAATTCCCTATAAGAACAACTATGACCTAAATTGATTAATTTAATGACCAATCAAGAGGACAAAAAGCTG